TGTTAGGTGCTTTTGCTAGATTCATCAAAGCAAGATTTAGCTGGTAGATAGATAGGCTTTTACCCGCCTACCTGATTGACCAAATATGTAGTTTTGCAACATGAATTAGAGGGAGGGGGTAGTGTGACGGCTAAACAGTGAAAAATGAAACAACCGGCCAACAAAATTTATCGACACGCAGGTTTATTCTGATGTTTGGTCGATTTTATTTCAAAGTTAACCTGCTGATCTTTCCCCACTCTCGTAGCTAAATCATTCGTTCGTCTCTGTTACCTTCTTTGTAATGATGCAGATACAGATGACCCAAACCCACAGTTAAATTAGTACATCGCATGGTCACATGAAAAGTCTAGCTTTACTGCCCAGAGTGTAACTTCGATATCATCACATAAACGTAAACTACATCATCAGCCTACCAGCAGCTACCACTGCACGTCGTTGTCAGAGGCACGAGGATGCAAATGGCGTCCAAAATCCCATGCCCCACCTGTTGGTACCAGGCGTTCAGCACGCCATAAGCGCCCTCATGTGGCAGCGATGCCCAGCTGGGATTGCCGTCGAAATCGGACCCTAATGTAAGCATCGAGTCGACGTGTTCTTCCCCGTCAATTTTGCGTAAGGTTCTGCCGCTTTGAGCCCTGAGACTAAATCGATGTAATATCATAAAAAAACACTTGTGATAGCATCACTTTGCCGCTTTTGCCAATCCTGCAATCATGCTAGATCAGTGCAATCATGTGCAGTCCTGCAATCATCCTTGACCAGTTCAAAAAACGGGAGCTAAAATGACATAGCAGCAGATGGTCGGGTAGTTTCATAATACCTCGTGTGAAGCCGACCAGCATGAGGTTAATGGTCAATCACAGCTGCCAGCCACGTGTTAAATGCTTTATTGACGAATTACTGCCCTGGCTGCTCCAGAATGTTGCCTGTTCGATCATGATTCGCACATGTTGGCCTCGCGCACACCACTATGTGACCATCTGGAGGGTGTCACCGGCCCGCTGACGCCCTGCTAACAACAGACGCCCCGCGCGGTGGCGTCCAGACGTCGCCTGCGCCGGCAGCGGCGGCCCGTCGACATCGACGGGACGGAAATAGTGCGGCGGCCGGGCCGGCGGGTGGCCCACGTCGCTGTCGCCGCTCCACCGCACTGGAGACAGACTCCAGGATGGCGCACGTGCGGGTGGCCGTCCGGGTCCGGCCGCTCAGCTCCAGGTGAGACGTGCCGGGTCGGGTAGGGTGAGCGGTTGAGAAGGGGGAATGGGTAGAGCTCGGCGAGTGAGTGGTGCGGGGCGAATATCAGCAGCATCCCGCGAGGGTAGGTAGAGTTGACGACGTCCGCTTTGATCTGGTAAGGAGCGTGGAGAACGAATATAGTCAAGTCCAGTTAAGTGTACCACCGTTGAGGACGAAGTCGGCAAATGAGGGCTTTCGTTGAGCTGGGCGGAGCTGGGTTGAATACGCTGAATGAAACCTGCTGCCAGAACACGGTGTGGCGACGTTCTGTTTGGTGAGACTGTTTGTTCAGGTGTTCGCCCTACCACTGACTTCCGGTAGAGCCCTCTGCAGAATCTGCTCTCACGGAGACGCCTGACGGCAGTCCGACGCTCAACCCCCCCCCCCCCCCCCCCCCCGTCTTCCCATCAGGAAGCGGAACGTGTTCTGAGAGATTGTTCGTTATTAGTGAACGGCACAAACAATATGTTCACCGCCCTCCACACTCTATCCTCGGTCCACAGAGAGAGGAGAGAGGGGGCAAAGATAATCGTTAACGGAGACGACAGGAACGTCACCATACAGGATATCCGAGTGAGTATAGCGCTTTCTGTGCGCACCCCGCGTCATGAAATGTTGTGGACTAGCATGCGTCTTTGGTTTTAATCTATAATCTGCAGTGCGTGCTCTGCGGATCACGGGTCTGCGAGCGCCACGTTGAGCTCACGCGTTGAGCAGTCTTGTGGCGTATATGAATCATATTGGAAGTGTTTTACACATAAATTGGTCGAAAACTCGTTGGATATGATTTTTCTTTTGGTCGCGGAGTGTTCTTATTTCTAAGCCATTCTGTTCAAAGAGAGGTTTTCATATTTGTATCAAGGCTACTAGAGGAGAATGCTACACAGACGTGACGTTACCATGGAACTAAAGTTTGGTAGCCAGTAGCATGGCTTTTGATTAATTTTATGAAAAGCTTTGTAGATATTGGCAACATGATAACAAACGAAAATTTCGCCAATGAACAGCGCAGCAATCTTCCTCTACATGTTTATTTTAATGACATGTGAATAGATATTGTACGTTATTGCATTTCATGCCTTTAAAGACAAATCGATACTAGGATCTCCTTCCAAAAAAGTCCCACTTACCCATGTTTTCTATCTCCAGCACCCACGCCATATTCGTCGTGGTCAACGTGCATGAATAGCTATACGCATTGTCTTTTAAAGAGGAATATGTAGTTGTATGTCAATAAAAAACTATCATACGTAATGTTAACTTAAACTTATTAATGGACAAAGATGACCAATATGTATTCGTAATGCAGTTCCAATCTGGAGTGAAATATGAAAATAAGGTAATTTGAAGAGAGCAGGTCCCGAGATAGGCACGTCCGACAGCCAAGCTATTGTGAACTTTGCTGCTTATTTATGTATTTTTAAGTGTTTGAGACTGCAACCAACAGTATGATCCATATGAAGTACTGGTTTAAGCTTTAACGAACCAACTTCTCGGTAACAAGTTCTTACCCGCTGAAACAATCACAAACGTTCTTTTATTCGCACAAGGAGAGGTGCGCACGGTCGTTGTCATGATGACAGTGGCGCCAAAGGAAGAAGCGAACACGCGCTCGGTTGGAGGGTCAGATTGACCGCCTACCCCCGAAGGTATTTCCGGAATGGTCTTTGAACGGCGCGGCATGGTCACGTCAAATTTTGCATAGCTATAGACAATTAAATAGCAGATTGTTTGGGATCAAACATCAAAATGTGCCTAAAAAGGCCGCTGACCTGCAGTAGGTCAAAGTCTGGCCATGATTTCAGCGAAGGCAATTTTAGGGGGAATCTCTCAATCTGATGCAACACCGGAATTCGTACGAGTTATACATCTCTAAGATACTTTTTTACGCAACACAACAATATGATGAACAAATTAAATTGACCCAGAGTCAGATACGAAGTTCAGACCAGCGTCAAAGCTAACCTGCTTCATTGCTATAGGACTTGCTGTATGGGGTAGTTTCTGGTGTTCGCTTCGAATTCCTTGATATCAGGAACCGCATTAAACACCTACTGTGGAATTCTTAAAGACCGGAATAGGTCGCTGACCTAAACTGATTTAACTCAACATTTTGTTTTTAGGAACATACTGCCTAACGTAACATTTGACGCTTATTCAAATGCAAAACTCAAAGTAGTCTTAGATGACCTTTGTCACCATGACCTTCAAAAGTTCATATAACGCTACCGACCTTAAATAAGGATGTGACCTTTTGCTTAGAACAGTTAGCTAGGCTTTAGGGGCCTTTTGGAGTCCAACTTTGAACTGAACTTGTTTGACCTTATTTGACCCGTGGGTCATGACCTAGGAATCTTTACGTGTGACCTAAGTGAGGCCACGTACAGGTCAACACACCCTGTGAATTTTGTGTTTTTAGCTCTCTTACTTCTTGAGATCTCAGCGGGGGTCAAATTCACATCAAATTGACGTTCAGCTCAACAGCCACAGGATTTGAAGCCTTAAAAAGGACATAGTTGTGACCTGCAGGTTATGCTCATGAAAGTAACTATCTCAGTAAGGGACAATGGGGGACAAATAGCGAACGCATAAGCGACTGGAACCCATCCCACCACATGTCTATGAATAGGAAGACAAACACTCTCGCCAGCTGAGCTACCGAGACGGTCGTAAATACAGCTCGGCATTGTATCGTCCATCTGACAGCTCCACAAAAAGGGATGGGGAGGACATATTTTGTGTGGTGCGTTGCTGAGGAAATATTGAGGTGGTGTTGATTAACTATTGCGAAAAAAACTTGACTGGGAACACAGTTTCGAAACGTCAATTTTCCTCACTAGGCCTTTTTTGCAGCGGCGTATAACCATTACCTCCGTGTCTACTGTAGGTGAGCTATTTTCGTCACGAGAACTCCCAACTCATGGTCCAGGAAAACTAAGATTCAGAGTATTTCTTGCCTATATCAAATTCCAACACATGTCAGATCGTTGGCCACGCTATTTTTTGAGACAGCCATTCTGGAAATCAATAGAGCTCCGGGTTTTGCCTACTCGGCCCTTCCAGCTATTGACATATCCGTTGGGAATGTCGTGCAGCTTTAGCTTTATTTTTGTATGTCGGTGCATGGCGGCAGTGTGCTAGAAAATTGTCTGAACCGTGCGTATCAGCTCGCGACATTCTATGCGAAACCGTTTTTCGCGTCTTAGGCCACATTCAATGAAAAGATAATTTGTTTGCTGGCTTCTTTGAGATGCAATACAGGCAGGGTGATTACATAAACGTCAGGGTAGTAGGCACCAGGACACAATTTTTTTAACGACAGCAATGAGCAATGAACGGAGTCAAATGTCTTAGTTACCAGCAGACCCACTTCAGTTTCGTTGTGCCGCTGGAGCACCAGCGCTGTATAAATTGCCAAATTTGTTGACATTTATACGCTATTGATGACGCTATTCTTAGTTGCTATTTCGGCTGAAAACACTTACACTGTGACAACACGTTATCAACATGTCATTGAAGGGCTTAAGGGATTACCAAATTTGAGCGACTTATTTATTCACTGAAATTGACATGAGGTTACCAGGCCAGTGCCAATTTCAAACCCAATATCTTTTGGCATGAATTCTGCCGCCCAAGCTGTTGTCCTTGGGTTAAGGCTATTTCCGATCTAAGATGACCTGAACAGTTTCTAAACGCGTTTTCCAGGTGCCGGAACATCCGGGCTGCGACCACCGGGCCCGCTACAAACACTTTCGCCTAGACGAGTGCTTCTTCTCAGACGGTGAACGTGCTTCGCAGCAGGAGCAGGTAAGGGTGGCGAAAGGCATGGCATTTTCACTGCGAACATGTTACGCATCCTAATAGACGTCACGGGTCGTGCTTGATGAAAGCAATTGACCTGAAAAAGCTGCGGCAAATAGCTATTGCTTTTAATGATGGGACAGTAAATTTTGAAAGTTTGGTGATAATTTGCGAACCGTAACCACCGACTGCTTTCTTCACTTCTGGCACTGCTACACAACGCATCCTTTGCAAATTATTTTGTGGTGTGTAAAACATTTTATGCAGCAATGATTTGGACTTGTTCTTGATGGGAAGCTCTTAAAAACTAATTTGACGTTAGGCAGAACATCTTAACCTTGTTCCGTGCACGATGTGTTCTGGTACGGTAACGTGGGAGGGAGAAGGGGGGGGGGGGGGCAGATTCTACCCCTCTCCCTGATATTTCCATAATCACTGGTACGATTGCCTCCTGGAATTGTATCGGAAACGGAAAATTGATTCCTCGTGATGTGCGGGCCACAGTTCTCCTCCGTAAGACGCCTGTTGCAGTGTGGGACGAGCCATGTGACACAAGGAGTGGTTATTATTATCATGCACATGATGCCCAGCACAAGCGAGTGGTGCCCGCCTTTAAAAACTCATAGGACAGGACTCATCAATACATTCGAATGCCCGATTTTCATCATTTTCATTACTTTAGCAGGCAAAGAAAAGGTGATGTTAAGTGGCCGCACTTTAAATGCATGTGACTCGATTATTGGCTAACTTTGGACCGCAAAGACTTGTGAGTTAAGTACTTGGTAGTAAGTGGTAATCAGTAAGCGACAATATGAATGCATTCACTAAGGTTTGCCATGTGTGATAAGTGTGAGCACAAAAATGTTTAACGAATGAGGTTAAGGTCAAATACGCAGAACCCATTTTTTCAGGGTCCAGCGGCCTGAAATTGGCCCGAAGAATTATTTAGTATCTAGACGATTTGGGGCTCACCTTCGTAAAATTTGCCTCTTGCCTGGACCTGCGGCAAGAGTTGGTCTCTCCTTTGTTTGAGTGAAAAATGGCCTGTTTTAGATCCATTGGTCCAGCCCACGGGCGGCCGAAAATGTGGCCCACTACAAACCTGACGAACAGTTGTGCGAAACGGGGGCGGCTGGCGGGGAAACGATGAGCTCCGACATGTCCAGCATTTTGTCCAGCTTCGGCGAGACCATAGCAGGTTTTTTGCAAGAGTTCTCTCCCCTCTGCGGCTCAGTGTGATGAGTAGGTTCATGTTTGTTATGGGCACGCCCAGCCGGCCCGGCGGCACAGCATGCTGTCCCTGCCGTGTCGCGGTGCGGCCTCGGCCGCGCGGTGGAATGCGGCCGGTGGAACCTACCGCCGCGGACGCTGACCGCCGTCCCGTGGCGGACCGCACGGGACGCGCGATAGGTGCGTGTATGCAAGCTGACTTACGAGTGGTCGTCCACCCGAACTAAATGTTATGTTGTGCCTGATTGAGAAAGCTGGGGCAGGACGCCACTGGACGCGGTCCAATGCAGATTGCCGCGTCGCTACACGTCTCTCTCTGACAGAACTAAGCTGAACCGCTGGACGAGGACGTCGCATGGCGCAACCTTCTGCGAGAGGTTCTTGATACTTCTACTTGCATGGCCTACAATCTTTGATCAAGTTGCAAGATGGGTAACACTGAAGAGGACACTGAAGGGGACACTGTACCACCGTGGCTGACGAAGCTGCTAGACGGCCCTCAAGACCAGCGCCGGCAAGATCTCCAAGAGCAGCAAGAACAACATCGGCGTGACCTCAGTCTACTCGGGTCAGAGATACAAGATATACACCGACAGCTAACGCTCGTAGAGATTCAGACATTTGAAGGAACCGGGCGGGATGTCTGCTGCAATCTGCCGCTGGCGTCCACTGGTACCGCTACTGTAGAACCAAGGGCTCCACTAGTACCACCGAGCTCGGATGCTCCACTACCATCAACAACGGCACCTTAAGTGGATGCAGCACCACCAGCAACAACGGTTTCCTCAGCGAGATCACTGATGCCTTACGGTGCCGCAAGACCACCCACAGTAACACCGTCAGGCAAGCTCTCCTTTCCACCATTCTACGCGAATTCCGAGCATGAAAGTCATCTTGGAACGATTACAGCAGGCTTTGCTATCTCATCACCTTCAGTCGTGAAGACCAGCTGGCGTGCCTGCGCCCAGGCTTCACTTAAGACACGCGTGCAACATCTCAGCACGCTATCGGCATCGACGAGGAGTCTGACACGGTTCGGTCAGCGTTGGACAAGATAGAACATCATCTTCGCCAGCAGTGCAGCATCGCCATCGACCGGGTGAATTTTGAAGAGAGGCGACAGGAGGATGGCGGGACCTTTGATGCCTTCTTGGTTTCAGTGAGAAAGCTGGCCGCTGATGCTGAATTATGCAGCACACGCATGGACCAGCGTCTCACTACCCGCATCATGTCAGGACTTTGCAACGAAGAGATCCGGCGCAAGCTTTTGACACTGCGCCCATTCCCGTCACTGGAGCAGGTCATCGACATGTGTCGTTCCGAGGAAGCGGCCCGGGCAAACAACGAGGTGCTACAAAACGTCATCAACAGAAGTCACAACGTGTTCAGCATCTCCAACCACCGTGATCAAAGTCAACGTAGCCCTTTGCGAGGGCGCTCAGGCCCACCATGCGGACGCTGTGGCGAGTCCAGCCATATGAGAGGAACATGTCCTGCAGCGGACCAAGCGTGCTTTTCTTACGGTGTCGGGGGACAGTTCGCCATTGTCTGCCGTAGAAGGCTCTCGTCCCAGCAACTACAGGCTGAGCCTGACGCATCATGGCGATCACGCAGCAGACAGCGTTACCCGTCACACCAGGCAGCTGTTCCCCAAGTCTACGTCAGCAGTCTACATCGCAGTCTACAGGCCCCCAAGATTGCCATCAAGCTGGAAGATTCCAGCGGGACGTTCTTTGGCAGCATCAACGCAACCCCATACTCGGTGGCTGAGATCAGACCAAGCCGCCAGGCATCGACGTCACAGCTGCCAACGGACAGTCCATGCACCGCATCGACACCTTCAATGCCATCATTCGCCTCAACGAGAGGGCAGTCGAAGACACAGCCTTCGTCTTCAATGAGTCACGGGGACTTCTGCTCGCCTGGTATACGACCAAGAAGCTCGGCATCTTCCCAGACCACTACCCACAGCCCGCTGATGACTTGCAGACCCGGAGCGCAAGCAGTCACTGCGTGTCGTCAAAACGCTCAGCGAAGAACACCGACCAACAACAACAGCAGAAACAGCTCCGCAGTGACATTCTCAAGGAGTTCACCGACGTCTTCACATCTGATGACAGCAACGCATCCCTTTAGCCGATGGCAGGCCCACCAAAGGTCATTCACGTCACAGAAGATGCCAGACCTTTCGCAGTGCGCGCTGCCCGCCCTGTGTCGTACGCATGGAGAGACAACGTGAGGAGCCAGCTGGAAGAAATGGTTCGACAGGGCATCATCGCCCCTTTGGGTGACGAGCCATCGGATTGGTGCCATCCACTGGTGCTGGTCACAAAGTCTGATGGAGGAGTGCGGATATGCGTTGACCTCACCAAGCTCAACAAGTTTGTAAAAAGGCCTCTGCATCCACTCTCTACTCCAAGAGAGGTCGTGTCTGGTATCCCCGTGAGCGCAAAGGTCTTCTCCACGCTGGATGCCAAGTCAGGATGCCGGAGCTCCTTCCTCAAGAAAGCAGCCAACACCTCACAACGTTCATCACCCCCTAGGGGCGCTTCAAGTTCCTCCGAGCGCCCATGGGCCTGTTCTCAACAAGGGACGAGTACTGCCGACGTGGAGATCAGGCTCTCCAAGATCCGGACCATATCGTCAAGATGGTCAACGACATACTTGTCCACGATGAGACATTTGAGGACCGCGCAGACCGTCTACGAGCTGTTCTCACACAATGCCGCCAACATGGCATCACGATCAACGAGAAGAAGTTCTGCTGCGCGCAGGAAGAAGCCTTCTTCCGTGGCTTCAGCCTGTCTTCAGTCGGGAAGGAGATCGACCCGGGCAAGGTCACAGCCACCACCAACTTCCCAACGCCAACCAACATCACCGAGCTGTGGTCTTTCATGGGCCTCGTTCAATAGTTCGGGGACTACTCCACCGAGATGTCATCCGCTGCAGACGCACTTCGTGCTTTACTGAAACCTCGCAACGCTTTCGTGTGGACATCGGATCACCAGACAGTCTTCAACGACGTCAAGAAGACTCTGGCATCACTGCCTGTGCAGACTCATTATGATCGGCATCTTCCGACGGTTCTTCAGACCGACGCTGCCTGTCTGATAGGGCTCGGATACGCCCTGCTACAACAGCATGGTGATCGCTGGCGCCTAGTCCAAAGTGGGTCCAGGTTTCTCTCTGACACCGATTCACGCTACGCAGTGGTGGAGTTGGAGCTCCTGGCAGAGGCGTGGGCCCTGAAAAAGTGCCGCATCTTTTTGCAGGGCCTGCAACACTTCAAAGTCATCATCGACCGCCGGCCCTTGATACCGATCTTGAACGACTACACCCTGGATGCCGTGGAAAGCCCACGTATACAACGTCTGAAGGATAAGACCAGTCTCTACAACTTCACAGCTATCTGGCAGAAAGGCGAGGACCATGTCATCCCCGATGCACTGTCACGTGCTCCTGCTGAAGAACCGACGCCTGAGGACAACCAGCTCGTCCAGTCTGTGGAGCACCATGTCCATCGCTTGTCCATCGTCACCATCAGTGAGGTCTCAGCCCAGCAGGCGCCAGCTCATCTCCCAGGCCCAAGACTCGATGATCTCGAGAGGACAGCACAAGCCGATGAAACCTACCAGCAACTTCTGGTGGCTGCATGCCGTGGTTTCCCATCCTCCAAGGAGATGGTACCACGTTCCTTACTCCCATTTTGGAACGTTTGCCACGAACATTCATCCCACGACGGCCTAGTTCTGAAAGGCTGCCGCATCCTCATTCCGCATGGTTCCCGGAAGGTCACCATGAAAGCACTTCACGACGCTCACCAGGGGATCGAGCGCACCAAACGACGAGCACGCCAAACTGCCAGGTGGCCCGGCATGAACAGCGACACCGCCAACACTGTGGGCAACTGCAGTACCTTCCAAGAGCTCCGTCCAAGTCTGCCTCAGGAACCGATGGCCACCGAACCGCCGCCATCGAGGATCTTTGAAGATGTTTCTTCCGACCTCTTCTCTCACGCGGGCATATATTTCTTCGTCTACGTGGATAGACTGTCTGGCTGACCAGTTGTCTATCAACTCCCACGGGGTGACACAAAAAGTCGTCAGATTATCAGAGCCCTCCGAGCTCATCACAGCCTTGATCACCGGGTCTTTGCCACTGCACTCGCAGTGCGCACTCACCTCCCCATCCCCCCCCCCCCTGATACATTTACTCCGGCTCAGACCGTCCACATTTGGTGGGGGGGGGGGGGGGGGGGCAGCCGGCCGCGATGGAGCGCCGCGCGCCCAGTCGTCGTGCGCCCAGTCGAGAAATACCAACTGGCTCTCTGCTCGCCATTATTAAAGTAATGCATTTCATTTGCCTTGCTTTTCCAGCGATTATTGTGTGATGTTTGTAACACACTAATGTTCAAGCATGTTTGTGTAATGAGTGCTGCAAAAGCTTGAAACGCTCTGTGAAGAGAAGAAGATATGCGAACATAAAACTATTTTTCCGCGAATTCAACGAAACGTTGTACTCTGGCTTTTATTGCTACCATATGGAGTCTGCTACCGTGGCTCTTATGGAGGCACACTTAGGATTTTGGAATGGGAGTATCAGATGGTCCATAGTGACGCACTGGTTGAAACTTCAGCCAGTGCTCTTCCTGGTAACAGACCCTTGTCACCCACAGGGACAATGAGAAACGTTCACACGTTCACACCAGCGGAGGTGCACGCGCTGGTTGTCATGCCACCAGTGGTCTCTACTGCAAGGATGAAGCGTATTGGTGCTACAAAGCGCTTACAGCGCGATATGGACTCGACGATAATTAAAATTGATAGCCTTACTGTGTCCTGACGGTGTTGCAGTAAGACCACCCAGTGCTATTATTAGATGCAAGTGGTCCTGCGGTTTCACTAGAATATGCTTTTGAAAAAGGCCCCAAAGGTCGGACACTTCGCTTCACTTTACTGCTATGTCTGAATGAAGAATTCATCCAGTAAACACGCAGGCGCCCATACTGGAATGGAGCGTCCTAGAAGACACATTTGCTTAATTTGTTCTTATATAAATATATATATATATATATTCATATTTATATATATATATATTTATATATATATATTTATATATATATTTATATTTATATTTATATATATATATATACATATATATTTATTTATTTATGTATATATATATATAGAGAGAGAGAGAGAGAGAGGGAGAGAGAGAGAGAGAGAGAGAGAGAGAGGAGAGAGAGAGAGAGAGAGAGAGAGAGAGAGAGAGAGAGAGGGAGAGAGAGAGAGAGAGAGAGAGAGAGAGAGAGAGAGAGAGAGGAAGAGAGAGAGAGAGAGAGAGAGAGAGAGAGAGAGAGAGAGAGAGAGAGAGAGAGAGAAGAGAGAGAGAGAGAGAGAGAGAGAGAGAGAGAGAGAGAGAGAGATATATATATATATATATATATATATATATATATATATATACATAGATATAGATATAGATATAGATATAGATATAGATATAGATATAGATATATATATACCTACATCCACGCGCCAAATCCGTGAACTCAGTATAGAATTTCGGAGGCAAAATTCGAGTGTAGATACCGGCGTATCTATATATATATATATATATGTATATATATATATATATATATATATATATATATATATATATATATATATATAGATACGCCGGTATATATATATATGTCTATCTATTATCAAAGGTGTGCAGCAAATTTGCTCCTCAATTACTCATCGTTTGAATGCGTCATGGAGCGTTTGCAAAATAACACTCACTTATAGTTTTTCGACCTTCCGAGAGATGGCAGCACGGACTGGAAGTGTTTGCTGAGCGAAGAATGGTGTGTGTAAAACAAGGACACCAAAAAAGTTTTGTGTCATTCAAATTCCGGCATGCCCCGACGCAGAGTTATGTAGGGCAAAAATGCGCAAAAATATTCACAGCTGTCGAGGCGCAGTGAACGGGAAACCAAATATATGATGTATGATTCACAGAACAAAAACTGTTATTGGTTGTCTCCACGACAAAACGTTGGGCTGGCAAGCACCTTCAAAAAGAATATTTTGGTACATATCAATCAGTTCCATGAGTGGCACACGCACGACGCATAAGAGTAATCGCTGAAATGGACTGTGCACAACAATATGGCCAGCAGAACACCAATGCAATGTTGATATTCCCCATCATGACCTGAGACATGATCGCCACTTTAGCATATATAGTAAATTGAATTGGCACTGCCATTTAACATGCAACTAAATGCTACACACGCGATATTTTGGGACTGTAATTTATAGTGCTTAGTTTCCAATTAAGTTTACAAGCTCTTTAAGCCATTAAAATCCCACAGTAATGCAGCCCCTGCCGCCAAAATACAACTTCTGGCACTCATTGCTTTATCACGAAGGTGTCAAAAGGGAGAAAGCAGTGTTTATGATAACCGCGACGAAGCAGGACGCAGTAAAATATTTGGCATAACTGATTTACCGAAACTGTTGGGAACACATGCAAGATTCACATATAAATGGTTTAGTGAATGAAATAGATCATAAACATAAAAACGTAAACAATATGACAACTCTTATCAATTGTGCGCGACACGATTTATTCAATATCAAATTTGATACAAAATTTGAGAGGGTGCAGTCAGTTAAGCAAAAATCTATGTTTTTCCGTAGCGTGGCGATGACACTTTTTGGATCCGGAGTCAACATGCAATTTCAGGATGTCCTTTTTCATTTTGTCGAAGTAGTTAGTAGACAAGATTCACACGCGTAGATATTGGCTTTCTGACCAATACATTTACAAGACATGTTTTCCTAAGCGTCTTATCCGAATCGTTCGATGAATTTATGGAGTCATCACAACGCTACTCACCTTTTGTGTCGTAGCCATCATTGTACAATCCGTTCGTGAATTTCGCGTCAGCGGCAGACATTTTCGGTGAAAGCTTAATGCACCACAGTGCTAAGCACGGTCCGTCTCCTAGACTTAGGTCCGATTCGACGGACTGGATCCCAATCCTTTCGTCCATCCGGGATTGTCAAAGGTCTGCCTCCAATCCGGTCTAGTGCGACTAGGGAGAATACCCTGACTAAATCCGCCCCAATATGCATGCAAGGTTTCTCTTGTGCCGTCATAGGTAGACAAATACAGCACTTCTGAGCACATTTTATCGTTCCCTTTGACAAGTTTCATATCAATATTCTGACTGGCTGCGGAAACCAGCATGCCATAGGTCAGCTTGAAGCACTCAGATCTCACTCGCTTGAAGCTGTTAGATTCTCAGAGCTATGATTCCACAAATAAATTGTGTATCATGGCTTGCATCCTGCTTACGCAACACCTTTGGGGCACTGATGTTTTTCCAAACCTAGGACCTGAAGGCATGTTGCCCATCCCCTCCGATGTCCATGAAAGTTAAGGTATCTGCAAATTCACGGGCATGCCCATACCGACCTTATGGTGACTCTGATAATGATCCGCACAACAGCCCCTCAATATTCAGTTTCCGAAAAGTTGATATCTGCTGTTGGCGTTCATGTACTCGTAATGTACTTATTCCGATAATATTTGATATGCTTATTGCCTTAGCAGATGTGCGAGTCGCACTATTTGAAGTAGCGTTTATGTGACGTCGTTTATTATCGCCGTTTTCTTCTCCATGTGGCGCTGGGTAATGTCCCCCGGAATCTTACTTTGTTATGACGTCTGCTTAACGACTAATTAGCGCCGACTTCCTGCCTTCAGTAAGGGTTCGAGTCGGCCGTTTGCCATTCGTCTCATCCTCATAACATCTTATGAGTATCCGGTCACCAATGCTAATAACGTTTGCTTTTTAATAGCGCATTTTGCATTGCCATTTCTTTATTGATTTACACATACGCACATCCCATTTAAGGCTTTTTGACGCGGAATTGGTGAAAGTTTATACGTCAGCTGGTGTATCGGTACATCAGATGACGGAATGTGTTTTTGATCATTTGCAAGTCGATCATTCGGATAGATTCACACGATGACAGTGTGACCCAATGGGCCATCAAACATCAAGGTCCAGAGAGCCGCGTAGTAAACGATAGCCCAGCTGTTCTACTGTCAGGCACACGCTGACTGCTCCGTGGGCGCCGGAGCTGCGCTCAGACCGGAGCTGTGCTCAGACCGCTCTTGCTCCGTTTATCGTGAAGTCGCTTCGCCGAACCGGGGGCGATCCGGCGCGTTTGGCCGAGGCGAACTCGTGGAATGGGGGGAGTGGTCGGAAAGGTAGGAAGAAGGTACCATTGGCGGGGGGCGGGGGGGGATTCGAGTCGCTTCCGGTGTTTACTATTTGTGCATGACTGGGTCCCTTGTCTGGTGCAGCGGCCACACCGACGGTCAGGTGATGTCAGAGGTCAGTGTGGGTCGCACCGAGCACTACGGCACGTCAAGCTTTCGCCGCAAAATTTTGCCGGTCACCAGCCATTTCACGATTGGATAGTTAGCGCAGTGGTCACGCAACAGGCAGTGCTTAGCGTGGGCGTTCACACCAGAGAGGCATCCAATCAACAGGTTCGGACTCGATGTTGAATGAGTCATGGCCATAATGCACTACAATTCGGCACACACCAAGGCTTGACCATTCACTTGCCTTGCCGTCCGATGAACACGTGCTCCGTCATCGCCGCTCTGTTGTCAGGTTTACGCGTCGCTGGGCCGTCCACTCCTGGACGATGTGCTAGCCGG